GCCTTACTGCCATTTTCCTAGTTCGGGCCCTAGTTGGACATGCCTGCAGTATTGCCATAGCCTCTGGTCTTCATACCATCCCCCCTCTCCCTATTCCTTGAGGATAACATAACAAATAATTATATTTTACCCTCTGTGCTGAGAAGGACTGACCACATTTGTCTCTTTTATGGTTCCTTAGGAAACCTTTAGTCTCTTGATGAGATGTGGAACTCATTCTGGCCCTGTCGGTGGCCGTTTTATCCACCTTATGTTGAATCTATGAGCTTCCATTTGAAATGGTTGCATTGGCCAATTCAGATTGCATTTATAAAGGATCGTAGACAAATATCTTCTTTCAGCTCTCTCTCGCAGCAGGATTCTACCTATCCTTTGAGGCCCTATTGCTCCACTGCGAAGGCTTTCTGGATGACCTTTATACCAATGGATTGCCATTTTCCATTTGCAGAACTTTCTGTTGGTGCCTCTTTGGGGGGGCCCTTACCGTACTGTGCCTTGTAATGTAGAATTACATCTTCCACAAGAAGGCAAACTCCTTGAGGGCAGGGCTGCACTTTGCTCATTTTAACCTCTCTGGCTACCTAGCATAATGCTTTTCCCATAGCAGCTGCTAAACAAATGTTGGTTGCGTCAAATGTGTTTTCTGTCGGTCTCCCTTTCTTTCCGTTTTTCAGCCCTTGCCTCTACACTCTGCTTCTTTCTTCTTGCCTTTGTTCTTGTGTCGTTCTCACATTCACAGAATGCTAGCTCTAAGAGAACTTTCAGATTCCAAGTCCAAAGTTGCCTATTTACTAGGCTGATCATCAGAAATAGCTGGCAGTTTTGAAAAATGATTTCCCTTTAAAAATTATATTGGGGGACATTATGTCAATAGTGAAGGATATGAATCTTAAGTGTGCAGTTGGGTGGGTTTTATACCCTTGTAACTACCATCCATAACAAAATATAGAACATCTCTATAGAACTTCCAAAACACAGAACATTTCCTCACACCTGCTTCAAGTTGAAACCAACCCCCCTAAAAGTAATTGCTGTTCTGATTTAGTTCCTAACAGATTAGTTTTGCCTATTTTAAAAGTTCATATACATAGTCTTTTGTGTCTGACTTTTTTCTTTCAACATTCTGTCTTTGAGATTCATCCAGGCTGCTGTGTGTATCTGTAGCTTATTCTTTTTCATTGTTGTATAATATTCCATGGTATAAGTCTAGCACTGTGTATTTATTCATGCTACTGTGGATGGGCATTTGGGTTGTTCCCAGTTTTTGACTATAACAAATAAAACTGCTATGAACATTCATGTACATATTTTTTGGTGGACATATGCTAGAGAAGAACTCAGAGTTCTCCAGAGAAACAGAACCAATAGGGTGTGCGCATGTATAAGTATGTTTGTGTATGTATAGAAAGATTTATTATAAGAAATTGTCTCATGTGAGACAAGTCCCAGGATCTGTATTCGCTAGACCCACACTAGAACTGATGGCGAACTCCAGTCTGAGTCCAAAGGCCTGAGAACCAGGAAGGGTGATGGTGTACATTCCAGTGCTAGCAGGCTAGCTAGAATGCTAGCAGGCTCAAGACCCAGAAAGAGCTGATGTTTCACTTTGAGTCCACAGGAATGAAAGAACTGATGTCCCAGTTCAGAGCAGTCAGGCAGGAGGAACTCCTTCTTACTCAGCCGTTTTGTTTTATTCAGGTCTTCAACTGATTAGTTGGGGCCCACCCACACTGGGGAGAGCAATCTGCATTACCCAGTTTACTGATTCTAATGTTAATCTTATCCAAAAACACCCTCACAGACCCACCCAGAATAACATTTGACCAAATGTCTGAGCACCCCATAGCCCCATCAAGTCGACAATCCAAATTAGCCGTCACATAATGCATTCACTTCTGAGGGGTATGCATTTTTGTGGGGTATACATGACATGGGATCAAACCACATTTAGCTTTAGTAATTACTACCAGTTTTCCAGCGTGATTGTATCATCACACTCCCACTAGCAATGTGTAGAGTTCTACTTGCTCTACATACGTAATAGCCCTTGGTATGGTCAGTCTTTTTCGTTTCAGCCTTCATGATGGATGCACTGAGGGGGATGGGCTGGAGCCAGCCTATGTGGCTTGTGAGACTCAGCTGTATACATCTCTTCCCAATTCCGCCATCAGTGATGTGTCACATTGGTAGCTTGAAACCAGCCACAGTGGGAGTATTTACACCAAAGAAATGCTTTTATTCCTGGAATGTGGGTGGTTAAGTGTTTACCAGTGTACTACTGGGAGTGGTATCTCATTGTGGTTTTAATTTACTTATCCCTGATGTGTTACGGGTAAACATCTTTTCGTATGTGTACTAGTCATTCATTTATCTTCCTTCATGAAATGTCTGTGTATATCTTTTTTTCACCTAAAAAAATTCGGTTGTTGATTTTTTTCTTTTTCTTGTTGATTTGTAGGAGTTCTTTATATGTTCTGGTCTGAGTTCTTTGTAGAATATATATATATATTGCAAATATCTTCTCCCAGTCTGTTGCTTGACTTTTCATTCTTTTTTAATGGATAGATATTTACAATTTAATTGAAGCACAATGTATTGATCTTTTCTCTCATGGATAGTGCTTTCTATGTTCTCCTTAAGAAATCTTTACCCCAATGGCTTGAGTATTGTTTTTAAAAACTGATTTTTGAGTGTACTGAATCAGAGTTTTTGAGTGTGGGATTCAGGGTTCTGTGTATTTTAAAGCACCCTTAAGTGCAGATGGCTTTGAAACACATTAAAAGTTTCTCAACCTTATTTGTAAGGAGTGAAATGCAAGTTATAACCACAATGAAATGTTAATTTTCTCATCTATCAGATTAAATTAATGTGGATCAAAAAGTTGTAAAACAACACACTGTGCTGGCCTAAGATGTGAGGCACTCTCATACGTTGTTGATGTCTTTGTAAATAAGTTCAGCCTTTATGAAGAGTATTTTGGCAATATCCATCGAAACAAAAATACATCCACATGCCCTTTGATCTGCCTGGCATTTCTACTTCTAGGAATATGTCCTCCTGGTACTTGGAAATGTGTACAAAGGAGTATGTTACATGGATATTTACTGCAGTATTATTTGTAATAGGAAAAGATGGGGAATTACCTCAGGGTCCACCAATAGCCATACAATAGAATACTAAGAAATCAGTAAAAAGGAGACCGTTGTGTATGTACAAATATGGAGTGACTTACAAATGATATGGTTAAGTGTAGAAAGGGCATTGTAGAACAATGTGTTTAATTTCTTACCAAATGTGTAAAAATGGATAGTTTATGCATGTATATGTATATATGAATGTCTGTATGTGTGTGTATCTATACTTATATATGCTAATGTATTCAAATATATTTATTGAAGGAAACAAGGAATTCAGCTACAATGGCAGCTACTGGGGGTGTTGAATCCACTATGTACCTTTTCTGTACGGTTGGCCTTTATAGGCTTTTACTACCCTTCTTTTTTTAGAGCTCCCCAGGTGATTTGGGTGACCATCCCATATCTTATGTGAGGAGACTGAGCCCATAGAGTTTGGGTCCAAGCAGGGTTTGCCCAGGGCTCCTTCCCTTCTGAGAGTCAGTCTTGTCCCGTCTTTTCCCTCTTCCCACCTTGGCTTGGCCTCTGGCTCCAGAACCAGTTTGTCCCGCACACTTTTGCCTTCTGCCAGGACCCTACAGCAAGCCGGGAGCCAGACTCCCCCTCTGAGGGTCTGGGTGGGAGGGAGAAGCAGCTCCACGAACTGGCCACCAGCCCTTCCCGCCTGCCCTCCCTAGCGTGATCTATGGCTTGTCAGAGGTGTGGGTCTCACCACTTGCTGAATAGAAAGCTTCTTTGTTCTTGGGAGTGAAAATAACCTGAAGATAAATGTTGGGGCTGGAAGAGCCCAGGGAATGTTGGGCTCCATCTGCCCTGAGGCTCCTCCCTGGAGCTGAAGGTCTGAGGCTGGGGGAGACAGGAGCAGTTCCAGAGAGAATATAGTGGCCATGAGTACTCAGGGGACTGTGAGCTGTGGCCCCTGGAAGGTGGCCATGGGCTCTTCTGAAATGCAGCGCAGCTCCTGACACCTGCCTGAAACCTGCTTCCCTGGTCAGTAACCTTCTGTCACCCCCTGGAAACTTCCTATCCCCCCGTCACTTATTGGTGATGACACGACCGAGCTCCCCGCAAGCCCTTCTTATTCCTCCTCACCTGGAGGCTGCCCTCTGCACCCTGACACAAACACCCTTTTATCTTCTCTCTATGTCTTCCCGTCCCCCTTGCTTCCTACTTGCCCCACGGAGCCTGCATTTCATTTCTCTGGCTGTGGTCGAGAAAGGGCGGGACCCAGCTCTACACCTGGGCTGCAAACCCCATAAAGTTCGGGGTATGACTCTTCCATGGACCATAACCTCCTCCTTCCCTCAACCAGCCCAGGCAGGACTCAGCTGGAGGATGCTGGAGCTGCCAGGAAAGGGGACAGAGGACGAGGGAGGATTGTTTCAGGCTGTTACTCTCAAAATAAAGCCCCAGACAAGGTAGAAGGCTGCTTGGTTTTCACCCTCATTCCTAAGTTTCTATTTTTCATCCAGGAGCTTTGGGAGGTGGCCTAAGACTTTCCAAGAACCTCAGAAGGACAGAAACCCATGAGGACAAAGGTGAGGATAGCATCAGAGTCCTCCAGGAAAGCACAGGGCTGTTGTGCCCCTACCCAAACCCCAGCCCTGGCTCAGACAAGAGGAACTTGGGGGCCTCAGAAGTTGGAGCCACAGGATGGACTTTAGAGAAATCCTCGTAGGCCACAGCCCAGTGCCTCCCTCGTGATAAGCATGGTTGGTCTCAGTGTGGCCTGTGGGAATGAGTAGGAGGGGTCACAAGGAAAGAGAGGAGGAAAATAGAGGGAACTAATAGAATACCATCCGTCCAACCTTTCTGTTTTCTGGGTGAGAATAGAGAGGCACAGAGAATCCCAAGACTGTCTCCGACATGGAGGTGAAGCAGCCCCTCTCCTGGCACCTGTGCTTCTGTTCGTTCTTGCTGGTACCTCCCTGGGGCTTAATGGAGTGGGAGGTTTGAGGAACAGGTTTTGGGAGTGACTGGATCTTAATGACGAGGACCCCAAGGTGACCAGAGTCACCCTCCCAGGGCCCGTCTTCCTTCCCCACCACGGGGCTGGTGCCTCAGCTCAGTGTCCTGTGGGGCACCTGCACCGTGGACTCTACAGAAAGCGCCTGTTAGAAAGTTCTCTGTCTACGATCCCCACCCCAAGTCTTCATCAGCTTTGCCTATCTTTGACTCTGCTAGTCTGGACTGGGCAAGGTTTAGGATGAATCATGGTTTGGGGTTTATGTAAAAGTATGAGAGAGAAGAAGGGATGAGAATGACCAACTGTTGCATTGTGGGTTCCAGGCTCCAGGGCGGGCACTTAACCCGTGCCTTCTTATCCTTAACCCATGCATCCTTATTTAAGGCTCACCGCAGCTCTTTGGAGTAGGAATTAATGCTCCCATTTCACTGAGTCTGCATGAGGTTCAGGGACTTGCCCGAGGTCACACAGCTGAGTAGTGCTGGGTGGCAGACTGTGATCCCAGCTGTGCATCGGAACCCGGCTGCCCCATTGTGTGCTGGCCGCCACCTGGCTCTATGCACAAAGAGCTTCGGGCCGGCCTGAGGTAACCTCGGGACCAGGTGTCAGGTGGGTACCCGGTCCTGCGGAGAGAGCCTTAACAAGCTAATCACAGCACGGCTAGAAGCACCAGCCAGATTCCCCAGAGGGTTGGACTGCCCCAACCCTGACCTCTGTGGCCTCCTCCCACCTGACCCGGGCAGGGATTTCTCAGGGCTCCTTGCTGATTCTCGATGCCCCCGGGCTGGCAAAGGGCTGGCTTCGTGCTCAGTTGCTCAATAATCCGTGAAGAAATCAATGCATTCCCACCTCCTCCCCTGGATTCAGCCAGGACCCACCAGCACGGTTTATAATCACATCCGTGTGATGTGCCCATGCTGGGCAGAGGCGTGGGGGCAGGCTGGGAGCTTCAAGTTAAACTTTTCTAGACTAATAAACTGTTCCTCACATTACAACTCGACTGCCCTCGCTTTCCCCTGCCGGCCCCCCAGGACCATCCCCCACTCCTCCTACTTTCCTCTCTCTTTCACTGAGGCTGACATCACACTCACATTTTCCAAAAATTCCCCAGATTACCCACAGTCCTCTTAGCTCCTGCTGTCATCTGGAATTCCAGATGCCGTCTCCTGTCAGTCCCTCCCACCCTCAGCCCTGAGCATCAGGAATCCCCTGCTCTGGTTCCCGGCTGGTCTGGGTCCCCCAGCTCAGCTTGGCCTGGCAGTGATGCAGCAAAGTGGGGTCCGATCAGGAGCTCTTTCCATCACCAGGTGCAGGGGGGTAAAGGGACTGCTGGAAGGAAGTTAAGCTGTGGCTCTGTGTGTGTGTGTGTGTGTGTGTGTGTGTGTGTGTGTGTGTACGTGCGCGCATGCGTGTGCAGAAGCAGGCTGGCTCTGAAAGACCCGTTATGTGGGGAAGGGGCTGGGTCTTTCTTTCTTTCTTTGTTTTTTAATAAATTCATTCATTTATTTTTGGCTGCGTTTATTTTTGGGTGCATTTATTTTTGGGTCTTCGTTGCTGCCCGCGGGGTTTCTCTTATTGCAGTGAGCGGGGGCTACTCTTCGTTGTGGTGCGTGGGCTTCTCATTGCAGTGGCTTCTCTTATTGCAGGCTCTAGGCGCGCGGGCTTCGGTAGCTGTGACACGTGGGCTCAGTCGTTGTGGCTCGCGGGCTTAGTTGCTCTGCGACATGTGGAATCTTCCCGGACCAGGGCTCGAACCCGTGTGCCCTGCATCGGCAGGCGGATTCTTAACCACTGTGCCACCAGAGGGGTCTGGGGCTGAGTCTTTCTGAAGCCCTGATAAATGGGATTGGAAGGCACATTGTTCAGTGGAAAAAGCCTAGGGATTGGAGTCGGAAGACCTGGGTTCGAGTTCTGGTTCTGCCACTCATGGGTGCTGTGCTCTTGCACAGGTCACTATGTAGTTCCTCCCCTCATTGTTCTCCTCTGTAAACTGGGGCTCTGTGTATTTTCCAAAAAATGCTATAACAGTATATCCAGTCCCACGCCCTCTTCCAGAACCTTATTACTTCCCATTAAGAGGCAGAGTCTATGTCCCCTCCCCTTGAACCTGGGCAGGTCTCTGTGACTGCCTCAACAAATAAAATGTGTCAGAAGTGACATCGTGTGACTTCCTAGGCTAGGCCATAAAAGGCATACGGCTTCCACTGGCTGCCTCTCGATCTCACTCTCTCTCTCCCCTCCCCCCGCCTTGGATCTTGGCCACTGTGCTGTGAGGAAGCCCAGGCCACACGGAGGGGGCAAGTCTAGGTTCTGGCTGAGTGTCCCAGCCAAGGTCTCAGAAAACAGCCGGCATCAGTGGTGACTGAGAGCCTTCCGATGATTCTGACCCCGAGTCTTCAAGCTGCTTCAGCTGGTGCCAAATGGAGCAGAGAAGAAGGGCTTCCTCACCAAGCCCAGCGCGAATTGCAGATTTGTGAGCAAAATACATGCTATTAAGTCACTGAGTTTCGGGGTGGGTTGCTGTGCAGCACTAGGTGTCTGCAACAGGATCGTGCTAGGAATATTTGGCTTACAAAAGTTGTGAGGGTTAAACCGAGATCCTGCGGCAGAGCCTCATGGAGTCCCATGTCAGCACCATTGCTGTCAAAGCACTTCAGTGTGTTTGTACAAGACATCAATGTGCGTGTCTATAACGTGGCCAGGGCTGGGTTAGATGCTCTCCACATATCACTTCATTTAATTCGTACATCTTTTCCATGTGTCATAACCTCCTGCTCTTTTTCATCCAGCTCAGGCAGGACTGGATTGGTTGTTGTAAGGATTAAATTAGGTTGGTATTCTTATTTTCACCAATTTGCAAATGGGAAAACAGAGGCACAGCTAGTGTAAATTCAGGTGGAATTGGAATTTGAATCCATGTCTGGCTTCCTGCTAAGTTTTTACTCCTGCTTCTCCAGGAGCTTGAGCTGGGTTAGTCGCCTAGAGAAAATGGCGACCCTAGGGTATCTCAGTAAATCCTGGCCTGGGAAAATCCTTCTGCTTGGTTTATTTACTTTTATTTTCATTTCAACAAACATGTATCGAACACCTATATTGAGACAATGTGTTAGGTAGGCCCTGGAAGCACACTGTTATGGCCTCTTCCTTAAGGAGCTCGTAGTCTCTGGGGGGAGACAGATACTTCTTAGTTCTGTAACCTTGGGCAAGGTACTCACCATCTCTAAGCCTCAGTTTTGTCATCTGTAGAATGGGGATAATTACAAAACCCATCTCATAGGGTTATTGTGAGAATTACATAATATGTAATTCTGCTTAAAGCATCATGTACATAGAAAGTGCTCAATAAATATTAGTTTTTAGAAGTATAGAAAGAAAAGTTTACAATATAGTGAGATATATGCCAAAATAGAATGGAACATAAATTGTTAGGCGAGGAGAGAGGAGTAAGTAATTAGTTCATCCTGGGGTGGAGGTGGTGGATGGTGGCAGAGAGGAGGTGACTTTTGTCCTGGGAGTTCAAAGGCAAGGAGAAGGAGCAGATGGTCTATGGAAGGACTGTGTTTAGTGTGTCTGGGAGCCAGAGCAGCCCCAGGTGGCTGAAGCACAGGGACCTGGCGGTGACAGAATTGAGGCAGGTTGGGAAGGGGCTTTGGGTAGCAGGCTGTGGTATGGTGCCGGCCAGGCTGTCCCACAGACTCAGGCAAGAGTCTCCCCACCCAGGCTTAGCGATGAGGCTTTAAGGTGCGAATGCACAGGTGGAGGACCCGAGGCTCCAAGGCACAAAAGCTTGGTATGACAGTTGTTCTAGTTTTGAAGGAGGAAAGTAATCGGGAGAACACGGAAAGCCCGGGGGACCTTACCCTGGGGCCGAGGGCTCAGAAGGGGAGGCTGGTATAGCAAAGAGATCTTTTTACCCCTCTCAAAAATCTGCTAAGGGTGGACCCACCAAATCTTAGCTAAGGTAGATCAACAGAGTCTGCTCTTGCCAATAAACCACCAAGCCCCTGGCCCAGAAATGTCCCAGAAATGTCACTGCAGATCAAGGAATGGCTGCTTGGGGAAATCTGCCCCAGGAGGCCCAAGCCCTGAGGATCAGTAAGGGGCTGCCCAGCTGGTGCATCTGGCCCCAGGGAGAAGTCTTCGTAGGAACCTTGGGCAGGCTCTGGGCTCTGTGTGTGCAGAGAACAGCTGCTTTGGTTTAAATATTAATAATGCAAAATGAAATGTGTGGGGTGCCCAGCACACCAGAGCCCAGCCAGTGTGTGTTGCATCTCATGTCCTCCGCACTCGGGTTTGGAAAAATGTGGTCAGCGAATTTAATATACTTTTTGGCAAAGGGAAGACGACAGCTAACTTCTCTCCGGAGCCTCACTAAAGTGGGTTTTCTCCTTGGAAAGCAGAGTGGTTTCTCCCAGTATGCCAGCAGGCCTGCTGCCCGACTTCTGTCACAGCCCCTCTGCTCTGCCCACCTTGACACTTGCAGGGGGCTCTGGGGGCCACAGAGCCTCCCACTGTGGGGATAGAGAGGTAGTCACACTTGTTCAAGATCCAGTGAGGCCTGGGTGGGGCCGAAGCCCCAATTCCTGCTGGCTTCTCCCTCCAGAATGCTCTCTCCCCATTTCATTCCCCTTCCTGAATCACCCCCTGCCCTCGCTGCTCATCAGAAGAGCTCAACGTGAGAATGTCAGTGCCACGGGGCTCCTACGGGGCCCCTGAGGTTGACAGCTGATCCAAGGTCTCCAAGGGCCAGATGTCAGCTCCTAAGTGCTTCGTTTCCCTCAACCCCACTGCATTTTAAAATCCTGGGCATTTCTGACACAGCCGCTGTGAAGAGGGGCACCCCCTCCACTGCTGCGCCGCACCGGCTATTGCCAGAGCCTCTCTTCCCCGACATCTCAGGCCCTGG